CAGAACCGATCTTTAAAAATAGCATCATTTAATATAAATGGAGTACTCAATCCAGTTAAGAGGGAGAGAATCTTATCAAAATTAAAGAAAGATAAAATTCAAGTTGCTTTGTTGCAAGAGACGCACCTCAACAACTCAGAACATGCCAAATTAAACAAACAAGGATTTAAATATGTTTACTTCTCTTCACATGGATCGGGGAGGCGGAGGGGAGTGGCGACCCTCATATCCAAGGCTGTAAATTATGAGCACATTTCAGAATATAATGACGACGAAGGCAGATTTGTAATGATTACAGGSAAAGTAGAAGGAATCGTGATAACTCTGTTTAATGCGTATATCCCTCCTGGAAGTGACTGGTCCTTTTATAAACTAATAGTCGATATAATGACAACAAAAAGTCAGGGGATTTTAATATGTGGCGGAGATTTTAATGTCCGATTAAATCCAAAAACTGACTCATCAAATGTCTTCACCGCACACATTTGTTCAGTTTTATCCCTTAGATGTGACAGCCCCYTCGGTGGCTCACTCTGTGCTCTCCGCTGGGTCTGATGTGCTGCACTAGCATGTTATTATGACCCAAGTTTGGTGCTGCTCTGCGGGGCGTTTATATACAGTGGGGAAAATAAGTATTTAGTCAGTCACCAATTGTGCAAGTTCTCCCACTTAAAAAGATGAGAGAGGCCTGTAATTGACATCATAGGTAGACCTCAACTATGAGAGACAAAATGTGAAAAAAAATTTGAGAAAATCATTTTGTCTGACTTTTAAAGAATTTTTTTGCAATTAATGGTGGAAAATAAATATTTGGTCACCTACAAACAAGCAAGATTTCTGGCTGTCACAGACCAGTAACTTCTTTTTTAAGAGGCTCCTCTTTCCCCCACTCATTAACTGTATTAATGGCACCAGTTTGAAGTCGTTAACAGTATAAAAGACACCTGCCCACAACCTCAAACGGTCACACTCCAAACTCCACTATGGTGAARACRAAAGAGCTGTCGGAGGACACCAGAAACCGAATTGTAGACCTGCACCAGGCTGGGAAGACTGAATCTGCAATAGGCAAGCAGCTTGGTGTGAAGAAATCTACTG